AGTGCTGGGATTACAGGCTTGAGCCACCGCGCCCGGCCTCCCTTAATTGTTTTTTATTGCATCTATTGACCTTTTTGGAAAACCAGCTCCTGGGTTTATTTTTTTTTGAAGGGTTTTTTTTATGCCTCCATCTCGTTCAGTTCTGTTCTGATCTTGTCTTCTGCTAGGTTTTGAGTTTTTTTGATCATGCTCCTTTAGCTCTTTCAATTTGGATGACAGGGTGTCGATTTTAGATCTCTCCCTGCATCTCATGTGGGCATTTATTGCTATATATTTTCATCTAGACACTGCTTTAAATGTGTCCCAGAGATTCTGGTATGTTGTGTCTTTGTTCTCATTGGTTTTGAAGAACATCTTTATTTCTGTCTTCATCGTTTATCCAGTCAACATTCAACAGCCAGTTGTTCAGTTTCCATGAAGCTGTGCGGTTCTGAGTTAGTTTCTGAATTCTGACTTCTAACTTGATTGCACTGTGGTCTGAGAGACTGATTGTTATGATTTCTGTTCTTTTGTATTTGCTGAGGAGTGATTTACTTCCGACTAGGTGGTCAATTTTAGAGTAGGTGTGATGTGGTGCTGAGAAGAATGTATATTCTGTGGATTTGGGGTGGAGGGGTCTGTAAATGTCTATTAGGTTTGCTTGGTCCAGGTCTGAGTTCAAGTCCTAGATGTCCTTGTTAATTTTCTGTCTTGTTGATCTGTCTAATATTGTCAGTGGAGTGTTAAAGTCTCCCACTATTGTTGTGTGGGAGTCTAAGTCTCTTCGTAAGTCATTAAGAACTTGCCTTATGTATCTGGGTGCTCCTGTATTGGGTGCATATATATTTAGGATCATTAGCTCTTCTTGTTGCATTGATCCTTTTACCATTATGTAATGTCCTTCTTTGTCTCTTTTGATCTTTGTTGGTTCAAAGTCTATTTTCTCAGATGAGAATTCCAACTCCTGCATTTTTTGCTCCCCATTTGCTTGGTAAATCTTCCTCCATCCTTTTATTTTGAGCCTTTGTGTATCCTTACATGTGAGATGGGTTTTGGCTTTTTACCCAATTTGTCAGGCTGTGACTTTTGATTAGGGCATTTAGCCCATTTACATTTAGGGTTAATATTGTTATGTGTGAATTTGATCCTGCCGTTTTGATACTAGGTGGCTGTTTTGCCCGTTAGTTGATGCAGTTTCTACGTTGTGTTGGTGCTTTTTACGATCTGGTATGTTTTTGGAGTGGTTGGTACTGGTTGTTCCTTTCTATGTTTTAGTCTGCTGCAGCAGAACTCATAAATGCCTTTTTTTCTTCCCCAGGTGCTCTGTCCCGGGAAGGTAGGGCTTTATTTATAAGCTTCTGTTGTGCTGCTGCTTTTTTTCAGGGCTGCCCTGCCTAGCGAGAGGGCAGCCTGGTCACAGTCTACCTAACAGAGGCTTTGCTGAGCTGCTGTGGGCTCCCCTCAGCTGCCGTGTGAACTTCCCTGCAGTCCTGTTTATAGGGGTATAGTTAGAACTGCCTTGGCAATGGCGGACTACCTCTGTAGTGGTGGACTACCTTGGTAATAGTGAGTGCCCCTCCCCTACAGAGCTGGACCATCCCAGGTTCAGCTATGCTTGCTGTAAAACTCAGTCCAGAGCATTTCAGATTGCTGTTTTTTGTGGGGGTGGGACCGTCTGAGCCTGATCACCTGGCTCCCTGCCTCAGACCCTTTTCTTTCAGTTGAACGGGCGACTGTCTCCCAGGCATTCCACTCGCCTGTTGAAAAGGCACCCAGATCTGTGTTATTTCCTGAGTGGCGACCCATTGTACTGGCTGAAAAAGCCGCACAGGAGATTCGTGGCACTTTTTTGGCTGGGAATCTCCTGGCCTGGCTCCCTGTTTCAGTCCCCTTTTTATCAGTTGAACAGGTGACTCTGTCTTCCAGGCGCTCTAATCGCCAGCTAAAACAGCGCCTGGTCCCCTGTATTTTGTCCAGAGACCCGCCATGCTGGCCAAAACAGCCACACTGGCGAACCATGCGGCTCCTCCGCCTGGAGTCCCCGGTCTGTGGGCAATAAAAATCCGTCTGGAAATGCCGCATCCACTCACCCTCCGTGCTTTCGCTGGGAGCTGCTCCTAAATCAGCCATCTTGGAGGAAGATTCTCGCGGCACTCTTAAGATAGGATTCCAGGATTGGTTTGGTTGTGCCTTTGGGTTTGGTCACAGTGCTGAGCTTTTGCTGATGTGAAACAGGATGCCAGAGGCCCCCAGCATGCAGTGGCATCACAGCACCTATGGTTGACAGAGATGAAGGGCTGAGGCAGGGCCTTGGGAACCCCTGTGGCTGCTGGGCTCAACAGTTGTGGTAGTTGTGACACTTCTAAAGACCAGGATATTAGATGGATTCTCCAGAGTGCCCACAGACAGTGATGAGCTTGGGTCTGCTAACTCAGCTCAAGTCAGTCAGAACTAGACAGCTTCCACGACAGCCCCCTAATTTTATTTATTTTTTTAGACAGAGACTCGCTGTGTCGCCCAGGCTGGAGTGCAGTGGTGAGCTCTTGGCTCACTGCAACCTCCACCTCCCAGGTTCAAGTGATTCTCCTGCCTCAGCCTCCTGAGTAGCTGGGATTGCAGGCACACGCCACCATGCCAGGCAAATTTTTGTATTTTTAGTAGAGATGGGGTTTCGCCATGTTTGCCATGCTGGTCTCAAACTCCTGGCCTCAGGTGATCTGCCCACCTCAGCCTCCCAAAGTGCTGGGATTACAGGCGTGAGCCACGCTGGGCCCAAAAGTTTTTACTTCTTTAGAATGGAGTCATCTAATTGCACACAGAGTAAACAGGTGATTTTGAACCCCCAAGTCACTCCAAGCAAGTGACTTACCAGTGTCTGAGGAACCTGCCGGCCTTCTTGTGCTTAGAAACCTTGTGATGTGGCCAGGCGCAGTGGCTCATGCCTATAATCCCAGCACTTTGGGAGGCCAAGGCGGGTGGATCATGAGGTCAGGAGTTCACAACCAGCCTGGCCAACATACTAAAATCCTGTCTCTACTAAAAATAGAAAAAATGAGCCTGGCATGGTGGTGGGCACCTGTAATCCCAGCTACTCGGCAGGCTGAGGCAGGAGAATCACTTGAACCCAGGAGGTGGAGGTTGCAGCGAGCCGAGATAGTGCCACTGCTCACCCGTCTAGGCAACAGTGCAAGACTCTGTCTCAAAAAAAGGAAACCTTGTGATGACCTCACCAGGGGCAGACACCTTGAAAGCAGTTGTCCATTCTTTTGGTTTTTTTATTTCTGAGACAGAGTCTTGCTCTGTCTCCCAGGCTGGAGTGCAATGGCACAATCTCAGCTCACTTTAGCCTCCACCTCTGAGGTTTAAGCGATTCTCCTGCCTTAGCCTTCCGAGTAGGTGGGAGTACAGGCCCCTGCCACCGCACCCAGCTAATTTTTGTATTTTTTCAGTAGAGACGGGTTTCGCCATGTTGGACAGGCTGGTCTCGAACTCCTGACCTCAGATGATCCGCCTGCCTCAGCATCCCAAAATGCTGGGATTACGGGTGTGAGCTACCGCGCCCAGCCTTTTTTCTTTATTTTAGAGATAAGATCTGACTATGTTGCCGAGGCTGGTCTCAAACTCCTGGGCTCAAGTGATCCTCCCCCTGGGCCTCCCAGAGTACTGGGATTACAGGAGTGAGCCAGTGTCCCATCCCATGTTTTTTTCTCTCAGGGCCAGCAGTTACACAGAAATAACAGATGCACCCCATTCTTCTTAAGACTCGCCACAAGCACCCCCTGCTGCCTCTAGACCCATAAATACCTAGAGTCAAATCGGCTTGCTCCTGAGGGGCAGGTGCTGGCTAGGGCTTAGGCGGGCACAGCTTTTACACAGAATGACAAAGCTTCACAAATATACAGAGTCAGAAGCTTGGGGAATGCGTGCAGAAGCAGATTTTAAGGGTGTTACACCAGTGAGGGTGGATGTAACATTAGCTCAGGCCAAATTTCCTGGTATGAGTGCACTTTCTAGAGCTGCTGGATTTCATTGGTTACCTTGTGCAGCTGGACTTGGTTCTAATAGCTTGCTTGGTTGCCTGACCGGAGCTTGGATCCAACAGTGGCTTAAAGGTAATGAGGCAGAGAGACTAGAACCACCCTAGCATAAGATGGATGAGGGGAGTCCCAAGGTTTGGGGAGATAGAAGTGCCGGACTGGAATGATCGTGGTCAACCTGCACGTCCACCCTCCAACCACGTTCCCCAAGAAGGCGCCCCTTACCGGTCAATCCCAGGTTAGTTAATCATCCTGTATGTTGAACTTGTCCTATTTCCATTCCTGTGTGGTTTCGGTCTCCTGATTGGACCCCAACTGAGGCACATGGCAAAGACAAAAAACAGCACTCTCTGAAGCTTCCCAGTGCTTCCAGGAGGAGCAGTACCCCCTACGCCAGAAGCCAGATGAGCTCAGGGAGCCTGGAATCCCCCTCTCAGCCCTAGGCTGAGGTGGGCTTGCAGACTCCCTCAGGAGGTGCTCTGGCCCCTGCCCCCAGCCCCTAGCGGTCATTTCCCACTCCGGCTGTTATTCCATTCATACTCCCACTTCCTCCCCACTCCCTTCCTCTAGCTGTTCCTAGGAGCTCCATTATTCAAACTTGTGGGGAGGAAATCAGGGCTGGACAGATCATCAACTGCTGCTGCTGGCAGACTGGGTTCCTGCCATAATGGGGACAGGCCCGCCCCAAACCAGGGTGGGGTGAAGTGGTCAGCCCAGGCTTGGTGGGAGCCCCTTAGTCCCACCCCAAGTCCTGGGAGGTCTCCAGACAGCTGATGCAGCCCCAACAGCAGGGGCCTGAGGGCAGGGATGCAAACACTGGCAGACACCCTCTCCTGCCCCAGGGGCCGGATGTGAGTGTTCCAGAGTCACCGTGCCACTGGGGGAGGGGTGGGGCCCAGGGGCGAGGCTGGCTCCAGGGCTGCAGGTTGGGGGTAGGGTAGGAACAGATTCTCACCCTGCTGGGCAGCAGCCCAGGTGCTGAGGGATGGAAGAGGTGCAGGGGTCAGCTCCCGGGGTTCCCTGCATGCCCCACCCCATCACCCTCGATTACCCTTAGCGCTCTAATCCTTTCCTCTCTTCTTCCTCCCGGCTCCCTCTCCACCTCTCCCTGGGTCTGGCTCCAAAGCCTCAGAGTCCCTCCCCTCTGCCCTCCACCTGCCTCTCTCAACTTTACTTTCCCAGCCAGCACCCCACTTCCATTTCCCTCCTCCCCTCCGGCCACCTTCCCATTTTCGCTTCTTTGTCTCTCCCCCTCAGCTCTCTCCATCACCTGTCTCACCCCAGCTCCCCTCTCTCTGTTCCTGGCCATCTTCCCTCTCCACAATGTCTGTCTGTCCTCCTCACCAGCCCCCTTCCCCCACCTCACCCTGACTGGGCAGCAACAACAAACATCCCTCTCTCTCTGGCGGGCCTGCCGATCGCTTCCCACTCAGCACATTCACTGCCGCCTCCTTGCCATGGGCGCGGCTGGGCGCCAACTTCTCAGCCTCCCCTTCTCTGCTTCAGTGGGACCCTGCCTTGCCCGGGTCACTCTGACACTCCCCAGCCCAGGCCCAGCCCTCAGCTGCACCCTCCCTGACACTCCCTCCCTCCCCAGGCCCTGGTTCTCCCCTCCCAGGCCTCACAAGGCCCCCCATCTGGTTTCTGTGGCTGCCCCCTGCACCCTTCCCAGATGTCTCACTAGAAACCAGCCCTAACACGCCAGAGCCCCATCTCTCTGGTCGGCCTCCTGCCCTCCTCCCTCCCTCCTACCTCAGCCCCGCCCCGGCCCCTGGGGCCCTCCCTGCTCCCGCTCTGCTCCACTCCCCTCCCCGCTCCTCTGGACTGGCTGGGCAGGGCTGGGCCAGGCAGTCGACTACGCAGGGGCTGGGGCAGGCGATCTGAGAGAGCAGAGGGAGGCCTGACCTAAGGCCCGGCACCCGGAGCTGGTGGGAGCCGGACCCAGAGGTAAAGAGGCGCGGGGGCACTGGTTTCCCAGTCCCTGGGGTGGGGATGGTACAGGAGGCAGGCTGGGTTTCTAACCTTGTCAAGCGTGCTCTTCATTTCCTGGTGAGGGTGATAAATGGAGGGAGAGGGAGGAGACGGACGGCAGCGTCCCTGGGATGGAGACAGGGAAGAGGTAGACCCTTGCGCTCTTGGGAAGATGGAAGGATTTGGACAGAGTGGGAAGAACAGGGTGCTGGAATGGGATTGGAATGGGGATTCCTAGGTCTGGGAATAAGAAACAACTGGGTCCCTGGGTCAAGGGAGCTGTTGAGGGTCTAGGACTAAGAGAAGCTGTTTTGGGGGCTGTCGAGGACTGTGGGAGACTGTGACTCTGGCTGGGGCCTCTCTGGAGGCCCATTCCCCATACCCCAAAGGCCTCCCCTGTGGCTCCCTTGTAGCTCCTGCAGCCACCCCTTCTCTGGGCCGGGTCATGCGCTGCCCCAAGTGTCTTCTCTGCCTGTCAGCACTGCTCACGCTCCTGGGCCTCAAAGTGTACATTGAGTGGACATCCGAGTCCCGGCTCAGCAAGGCCTACCCCAGCCCTCGAGGCACACCCCCAGGCCCCACGCCAGCCAACCCTGAGCCCACTCTGCCTGCCAATCTCTCCGCCCGCCTGGGCCAGACTGGCCCACTGCCCTCCGCTTACTGGAACCAGCAGCAGTGGCGGCTGGGGTCCCTGCCCAGTGGGGACAGCACTGAGGCCGGGGGCTGCCAGGCTTGGGGGGCTGCCGCTGCCGCCGAGATCCCCGACTTCGCCTCCTACCCCAAGGACCTCCGCCGTTTCCTGCTGTCAGCAGCCTGCCGGAGCTTCCCACAGTGGCTGCCTGGAGGTGGTGGCGGCCAAGTGTCCAGCTGCTCAGATACTGATGTCCCCTACCTGCTGTTGGCCATCAAGTCAGAGCCAGGGCGCTTTGCAGAACGACAGGCCGTGAGGGAGACGTGGGGCAGTCCAGCTCCTGGGATCCGGCTTCTCTTCCTGCTGGGGTCTCCGGTGGGTGAGGCGGGGCCTGACCTGGACTCACTGGTGGCCTGGGAGAGCCGTCGCTACAGTGACCTGCTGCTCTGGGACTTCCTCGACGTCCCATTCAACCAGACACTCAAAGATCTGCTGCTGCTGGCCTGGCTGGGCCGCCACTGCCCCACGGTGAGTTTCGTCCTGCAAGCTCAGGACGATGCCTTCGTGTACACCCCTGCCCTGCTGGCTCACCTTCGGGCCCTGCCACCCGCCTCGGCACAAAGCCTCTATCTGGGTGAGGTCTTTACCCAGGCCATGCCCCTCCGGAAGCCAGGAGGACTCTTCTACGTGCCCGGGTCCTTCTTTGAAGGTGGCTACCCAGCCTATGCAAGCGGGGGTGGCTACGTCATTGCCGGGCGCCTGGCACCCTGGCTGCTGCGAGCGGCAGCCCGGGTCGCACCCTTCCCCTTCGAGGACGTCTACACTGGCCTTTGCATCCGTGCCCTGGGCCTGGTGCCCCAGGCCCACCCAGGCTTCCTCACAGCCTGGCCAGCAGACCGCGCTGCGGACCACTGCGCTTTCCGCAACCTGCTATTGGTGCGGCCCCTGAGCCCCCAGGCCAGCATTCGGCTCTGGAAACAACTGCAAGCCCCACAGCTCCCGTGCTAACTCTCAGTGGGGAGGGTGGGGCACCGACCTGCTTGCTCTGCCCCTCCTTCCAAGTCTTGATGAGAGGGAGAAGGGCCTAGAATCTGGACAGTTTCAGCCACTCCTTGGCCTCCCCCGCCAGGGGCCTGGGCAGGAAAGATGGGGCAGCAAACTGTTTGTGCCTACTTTTTGTTTTTGAAAAATACGCACTCCCCACTCTGAGGCCTGAGGTTGTTTTTGCATCTGTGGGGCCCTGGAGTGGTGGGGAGCAGAGCTTGGCCACACCCTGACCTTTACCCTGGATGCTCCTCCACACCCTTGCTGGGCAGGGCTGGGCTCCCTGTCACACTGGACAGCAGGCTTGCCCCATTCTGTGAGAGGGCAGGAGACCATCTCTGGAAGACCCCCCTGCCCCCATCCTGTCTGCTGGAGCTGACCTTCCAGCTTGCACAAACTTCCGGGGGAAGTAGATATCTCAAGGGCCTTGACCTTATTTATCTAAGGTGGAAAAGCTGGGGGTGGCCCCAAATCACCCCCAAACTCCAGGAAACAGAGACCAGAGGTGGTGGAGAGCCAGATCCAGAGATACACTTTATTCGTAACCTCTGCTGGCTACTCGCACCTGTACACGTTCCACAGGCTGGCCTGCCATGTCCATCCCATGCCCAGAGGGGCTTCTAGTCCAGTACACGCCCTCACCCAGCCCCTGGGAGAAGGCACTGCAACAACAGGTGAAGAGAGGGTTGACGAAGCCTCAGCAACTGCTGCAGATACTGTCCCCCAACAATGTAACAGCCTGGAAGAGCAGGGGTGGGGAGCGGCAGCCACCGAGGCCCCTAAGTATTACAGAGGGAGCTGGCTGGGGAAGGGGTGATGTCCTGCCAGGTCCCCCTGCTCCCCTTAGAGTGGGGCTCTCAGGGTAGCTGAGGGCGGGTGGGGGTGGGCTGAATAGCCCTCACTTATCGAAGTGCTCCAGTGGGTAATGCTCCCCGTAGGTCTGCAGGTGGCGGGCCAGGGACTCCTGCTGCTTGCGGAGCTGTCTGGGCATCTCCTGATACACGTCTGAGAAGAGCAGGTTGGGGTTGGGCTTGGGCTTCCGCTCAGCCTGCTCAAAGGCCTCCATCACCTGTGGGGACATGGGGCAGGGGGCAGGTGGCTGGCCTCCCACACAGGCCCTGCCTCCTCCTGCGGGGCCTTGGCAAGGAGTTAACCGCTTCCAGCCTTTGTGTTCCCACCTGGACAGCGGACATGATCACTCCTAGGAGAGGTGTAACAAACACTCCCAAATCTGAGCAGGGATCAGTGTGGATTCATTTAAGGCTTGCAGCATCCCTAAGAGGTAGACAGCTGAGCAATGAGGAAACTGAGGCACAGAGAAGGGCAGGGACTTGCCCACCATTACGTAGCTAGGGACAGAGCCAGGATGTACGGTGCTGCCCTCACCAGTGGGCTGCACGGCCCCCAGCTCCTAATGACCAGGCCAGGGAGGGCGGCACACTGACTCTGGGCAGGGCACGAAGACTGCACATGGATCACCACCTACTCCTCAAACCAGCTTTTTTTTTTTTTTTTTTTTTAAAGATAGTATCGCTCCGTTGCCCAGGCTGAGGTACAGTGGTGCCATCTAGATCACTGTAAGCTCTGCCTCCCAAATTCAAGGGATTCTCATGCCTCAGCCTCCCGAGCAGCTGGGACTACAGGCACCCTCCACCACGCCCGGCTAATTTTT